GGTGAAAGCTGATGCAGAGCAGCACAGAGCATTTGGGCTAAGTAGTCCATTTCAACTGTAAATTTCTTTGATATATTGCATGTTGCCTAAACTAAAAATAATGTTATGATACAATAGCAATATTCTTAAATTTGCAAACTCCAGGACGGTTAAATTCCATCTGCTAATAATTTTAGTTTGTGCTGAGGTTTTTATTAAAATTACAGACACATGGAATCTTCACTCCTACCCGCATTAAGTAATTTTTTTTTAACTTTTGATCAGTTGGTTTGAGTGTTATTTGTGATCCAAAAGATGCATCTATTTTGAGAGCTGGAATTTAACGAATTACAGTCACTTGGATATTTATTGGTAACAAATCTTTCTTTTAAAGTCTGTTTTTATACATGGACAGTATTTTCATTGAAATAGATGAGAAGTATCTCCCCATGCTTCAATAAACTAATGAACTGCTGAAATAAAATCAGGAATGTAGCATTCATTAATTTCTATTAAAGTAAGGTAGGGTACTAAATCAATAGCTTCGTCAGGTTGCATTGATTTATTTGCATTCACTGGTCTTTAATAAAATGCAAGACCATCAAATCCTTTAATGTTGTTTATATTAACTTGCTTTTTGTTGTGTTTTTTGACAGACCAGCAGTTTTCATGGTCACCTTCACAGCACTTCAATGAAGACATATATGCTCCTTCATCAAGGACCATGAAAGGATTAACTAGTAGCCGTACTCATCCCCAGCTCAGCTCAGCACACACTTGTGGCCTGATGACTGATGACTGTGAGCATTCTCATGACCATATGCACCATGGCTTGGATTCTAGGCAGTCGTACTTGCTCAGCCCAACTGACAGCTGCCAAATGGACCATCACCGTTGTTCACCTAGAAGTTCTATACATTCTGAATGTACAATCCCCATGATGGTAGGGGAGCACATGTCAAGCAGTACTTTCCCAAGAATGCACTACACCTCACATTATGATTCCAGGGATGACTGCACCAGTGTCTCGCACACTGGCAGCAAAATTAACCGCATTCCAGCTAATCTGCTGGACCAGTTCGAAAAACAATTGCCTCTGCACCGTGATGGCTTTCATACACTGCAGTATCAACGAACGTCCACTGCCACTGAGCAACGAAGTGAAAGTCCTGGCAGAATACGACACCTTGTGCATTCTGTCCAAAAACTTTTCACTAAATCTCACTCTTTGGAAGGGGCTTCGAAAGGAAATCTAAATGGCACTAAAGGTGAAGGTCGGCATTCAGACGATCACCACCATTCCCACCATCCCAAACATGGCAAGAGGAGTAAAAGCAAAGAACGAAAGCCAGAGCCCAAACATAAGTCTTCAATGTCTGCTTGGTGGAGCTCAGATGACAACTTGGACAGTGATAGCACTTACCGTACGGCGAGTGCGATGAGCAGGCACCACTTTGACCATATTTCACAGTACTATCCGGAAAATCTTCAGGGAGCCTTCAGTGATCTCACTCTGAAGACTTCAAAAAGCAACAACGATGTTAAATGCTCTGCTTGTGAAGGATTACCCATGACACCTGAGGGGAAATATATGAAAAGAAGCTCCTGGTCCACGCTCACTGTAAGCCAAGCCAAGGAAGCTTATCGGAAGTCATCACTTAATTTGGAGAAACCTCTTGTCCATCAGGAAATAAAATCATCTCTGAGGCCATGTCATTACCTACAAGTAAGTGGTAGTCTAACATTTAATATTGGGAATACAGTAAGTCATTTCTGTATGTTATTGACATTGATAGGAATTTGCTGAAAATAATGGAATTAATAATTACTGCTCCAACTCCACTACAAACCACATAAGCACTGAACTGGAAGTGCTGTATGTTACATGTAATGAGAATTTTATTGACAATCATCAGTTCTAATAATACATTGTTTGACTAATATTGAGGTGTTGTAAATTTTAATTTTAATATCATGTAACAAACAAGTCAACCCATGTAATGTGAACAGATTGATAACTACATTAGAAAAACACAGACAGGAACTTCGCACTGACACACAAACCAGTTCATTGAAGGTAGCGCATAGAAGAAATCAGATTCCCAGATTAACACAAGATGCATTGGAAAATATTGGAATCTGAAGTTGTCTTTTGGCATTTGCAGCAATCTCCATAATGAATAGCAAATTCATTTAAATTATAAGAATTTTTAGCTGAATACCACCACCCCTTCTCCCCACCCAATGAAATAACATCATAAATTTTGTAACAAAGATGTACTTGAATGATGCCCTATAAGTCACAAATGCTGGACTTCAATCAGTATGTTTCCTGACGTGTGATAATGTAAGTCATGAGTGGAGAAATGGATGGATCTCACTCTTAAAGCATAATTAAACAAATGGCATTTTTCAGCACAGCTTTGCAATGACATGAATTCATCTTCTGGAATAAGTGTCATTTAAAAAGGAAACAGTCGCAGTGGAGGTTGGAAGGGACCAGCAAAGTGAATCATCATGGAGATGTTGGAGTCAAATTTGAAAGGAATTAGCAGAAGGATAAGCAGCAATAACCGTGAAGGAAGAGGTCAGTTTTTGAAACCCTGAAAGTTTAAGAGTGGAACATGTATCTGAGGTCTTCTGCATTGTAAGGCTGGAATAGGTTATAAGGGTAGAATGATATATGAATGTGAACACAACATTTCAATTTGATACCTTGCGGAACAGAGGTCCAATAGGGATAGCAAGGGCAGAGGTAATTGGTGACTGGAGAACAACAACAGAACAATATGGAAGTCCAACAGTTTGTGGGGATTGGGTGATTGTGTATTTTGGAATCTGCAAATGACAAACAATTTATTGATTTTTAATTGAACTGAACTGGGATTACAAATGGCTATAATTATTTCAATGCCCACAGGAAAAAAAAATTGAGCAGTGGTCTTTGGGAACAGACCAGGTTAGCAACTGAATATCACAGCCATTCTTCAAAATAATCTCAGACTGTGCCAATGGAAATCAGCTAATTATAAAGGTGATCCAATCTCCCTGAATATATTCCCTTGTGTTGTGTGCCATCAGTGTAGAATAATTTAATTGCTTCAAACATTATTTTCTTGAATGCTTATGCTTTTATTTTTACCTGAAGCAAAACATGGTGTTTATCTTGATAATTCTGCAGTTTCAACAACCAATTACTTTAACATATCTATAATGGAATTAGTGTTCGTTCAGTAGCTCATACTGTGAATAGCAGCTTTGGGATGGCTTAGAGAAAGTGTTGACAAGGCTCTAGATGAATAGGAGCAAACATAAGAACTTATAATATTAGAATCAAGAATAGGCTAATGAACCTAGAATCTACTCTAATATTGACCAGGATCCTGATGGATCTTCTACCTCTGCTCCACCACCCTGCACTGTCATCGAATTCCTTGATTCCTTCAGTATCCAAGCGTCTATTGATCTTTTACGACAAGTAGTCAACAATTGAGCATCCACATCTATTTTGGATCCTTCATACTACACACTGCAACTCATCAGATAATCCAGATAAGGACCCTCTTCCCCCTTTGATAATGATGTCTCAAAACTGTGACCAACTTTTATTTTGTATGGCTTGATGTTAAATCCATTTTTTAGTAAGATATGACTGAACAAGCAATGAGCATTCCACCTCTGTTCAACTATTTATACAAACTTGTTTACTACATAACAAGTTACCACATAACATTATAATATTGTTAGGGCTCAGTCAAACATCCCGAAACAAGGGAATGAGGTTTTTTTGTTTGTTTGCATGGTCAGTTCAAAGCAGGTACTGATAAGTTTGTAATTTTGTAGATTTATGAGCAAGCAGACTGAAACAGAAAGAAAACCGCAGTAAATATTTCAGACAGAAACAGAAAGAAAGCCATAGTAAATATTTCAAACTATTGCATATGTAAACTTCCTAACCAAAGTAAAGAAAAATTCAAAGAACAAGTATAAAATAACTTTCTAAAGTTACCTCATTAATTATCATTTTCAATTATTTCTACCATTTAGATTTGGATTGATTTAAGTAATAAAGTCGCAATGCTTGTCATCAAGTTCAGACGTTGGTATAAATTTCATATTCCTTCACAGCTGTTTGCTTTGCCGTATGTCAGGAATATGTTACTTCCACTTACACCTCTGATTCAGCTGATGTAAACGCTTAATGCCTGAGCCCTAGAGACAAGAAAGATCTTAGATTTTACCCCTTAGTCTTTGATATGTTTTGAAACATAAAAATATAGGAGCAGGAGTAGGCTGTTTGGCACACTGAGCTTACTGTGCCTTTCAGTTTGGTCATACTTGATTTCCTACCTCAATGCCATATGCCCACTGTCTCCCCTTATCCCTTGACATATCTAAAAATTTATCGATCTCTGTCATGGACATACTCAACGACAGAGCCTCCGCAGTTCTCTGGGATAATAAGTTCTAACATTCACCACACTCTCATAAATATTATTATTATTAAATTATAACATATTTTAAGATGGAGAGGGTGGAGTCTGGCTAGGCTGGGACTTTTTTCACTGGAGTGTAAAAGGTCAAAGGGTGACCTTTTAGGTGTTTATAAAAACATGAGGGTCATAGATAAGGTGAATGGCAGGTGACTTTTCCCTAGGGGCATATTTTTAAGGTGAAAAAGACATGAGCTTTTTTTTTACACAGAGAGTGTTTTATGCGTGGAATTAACTTCCAGAGGAAGTGGGGGATGCGGGTACAGTTACAACATTTAAAAGACATTTGAATAAGTACATGAATAAAAAATGTTGGAGGGGTATGGGCCAAGTGCAGGCAGAAGGGACCAGTTTCGTTGGGGTTTATGGTTGGCATGGTCAGACCAAAGGATCTGTTTTATGCTATATGACTCTATGATTTTGAGACTATGTCCCTTGATTCTGGAACCAGCCCCAAGCCCCACTGTCAACAAGGACAAACATCCTTCCTACATTTACCTTGTTGGTCACTGTATGAATTTTGTTGTTTCAATGAAGTCAATTTTCATTCTTCTTTGTTACTTGCTGCCTTCTAGCAGCAACACCAATTACTCCATTGCTCCTTCTGGTTCATCATCCTGACCAGTAAACCTGCTGGGAAATAACCTTCTAACCTCTTTCCTCCCAGCTCACCTGATTGACCCATACTTCCTGAGATAGCCAACACCTACTTTGTATGTCCATTCATATGTAAAAAAGGCCTTTACTCGCCCCTGCTCATGTTTTGGATTATTACATTGGCATTCCAGCTTGGAATGAAATGAAGGGGGGCAACATCCTTGCCCTTACCAATTACACTACCTGTCCATAATTTCTATCATTGCCCTGCAAAACCCACAAAGGTGTTGATATGCTCATGAACAATGCCATTCCTTCAACCTTGGCATCTCCTGTAGCCCCTCTACTTCAACTGCCTTTGTCACTGATGAAGCCACCTTGGCATCCTCCTTTTGGGATCCCAGACCAATTAGAGGGATTGGACCAGGGAAATGACACGTCTATTCTGTCAGAGGAAGGATTCTATTTAAAGAGAATTTGGCATGTTTCAGAAAAGCTCAGCAGCACTGAAATGATTGAGGCTCAAACCCCAATTGGAATTTGAGCTGAGGGATTATAGTGAGGTGAAGTCTCTCAAGGACAGAAACAAGAGGCAACCTCTTCAACAAGGGAGGAGCAGATGCAGGTGGCTGAGGAAGAATATGTGAGACAGAGCACCAGGAGGATTCACAGCCTCAAGAGGTCATGACTAGTGAGTAGCATAACATTGTTAAGTGCCACATCCAGACTCTTACTTGAACTGCGTTGTCCTGCATGGAACTCCACAAGTTAACATAAATTGCAACTCCACTCATTTCTCTCCATCTAGATACTTCACATTCCATCTGAACAACCAGTACACACTCAGCATGTTGCATTTTCACACCCTGACTTTACAATCACCCTTCACAAATTGAGGCGGCATGGTGGCTCAGTGGTTAGCACTGCTGCATCCACAGTTCCAGGGACCTGGGTTTGATTCCACCCTCAGGCAAATGTCTGTGTGGAGTTTGCACATTCTCCCCATGTCTGCGTGGGTTTCCTCCGGGTGCTCCGGTTTCCTCCCACAGCCCAAAGATGTGCAGGCTATGTGGATTGGCCATGCTAAATTGCCCATAGTGTTCAGGGATGTGTAGATTAGGTGGGATGCTGTGAGGGTTGGTGTGGACTTGTTGCACCAAAGGGCCTGTTTCGACGCTATAGGGATTCTATAATTCTATGAAATAATGTGCTTCTATCCTCTGTACACAAGCAATCAAACGTCTTTGTTTTATTACTTGCTAAGATGCAGTTACAAGAATGGGGGATCCGACAGTGGTACGCGTGTTATTGACCCTTGTCTTTGCCTGCCCGCCATATTCAGTGTAAGGGAGGTTTTGTTCAGGAAACTGCAGATGTTAGCAATTAACTGCTCCAAGAAACTGACCTTCAAGAGACATTGGTGATCAGTCATGTTGAGAGGCTGAACTGCTTCCTGAGACTAAAAGACATAGGAACAGAAGTAAACCATTTAGCCCATCCAGTAGATCCAATTTTGGAATTCTCATCTCTTTCACACTGGATCTCGGTTTCGATTCCTTCCATCCTGTGAAAGGAAATATGGCCTGAGGAGGAGGCAGCTGGAACTGTTAAGTGTCACTCCTGCTGATGGAGTAGT